CCAACAGGGGAACGGACAACAGAGAAGTGGGTGAAAGGAGATAGCAGTCAGTGTAAGACATGAAAAAACAATTTATACATTATCAAGGGTTCATGAAGCGGGGGTGGTGGTGAGAAGCTTAAACCAAGGGTTAAAGTAGAAAGAAAATGTTTTTTAAGTGACCATGGCAACAAATGTACAAATGTGCTTGACACAATGGATGGCGCTGTAAGAGCCCCCAAGAAAAAATAAATAATAAAGCTGGAGGTGGGGGGGGGGGCGGAGAGATAAAAATCAAACTCACTAAGAGGTTACCTATAGAAGGCAGCATCGGGCAGGGCCAGGATGGGAGGAGGCAGGAGTAGGAATCAAACAAAATCCAAACTCCCTGCCACTGAGAGGATTCCGACTCACAGGGAGCCTATAGTTCAAGGTAAAACCTCCCCTGTAGGTTTCCAGGATCGCAACTCTTAACAGGAACAGAAAGAGGAATCCACGTCTGAACAGACATTTCTACAGTCTCAACTTCTGAAATCACGTTACACATACACTTGTTGCAAACTTAAATTAGTATGTATGAAAGAAAACAAATCTCTGATCATTTTCATTTTATTTCTATTTTTAAGCATTATACTAGCTTTCACGAGCAAGCATGCCAACGTGAAATAACATCTATCTCTATGTATACTCAAAACTCACCTCAACTCTTTCTAAACACACTTTTCGCCACGGGCAAGCACTTTGGTTTGAGGGTTGATCGGTGAAGGCCGGGGGTGCAGGGTAAAACACCCTCCCCTGGGGACTGGGTTCTCACTTCTTGAAGCAGTTGACTCGGGGCAAGTCACTTCACCGCCTCACTCGCTTCATCTTCCTGCTGGCTAGATGTGACCTCTATCTAAGACAGTCCCTTTCCACTTTAGCGTTCTGCACTCACACTCCGCCAGGGCTCAGGCCAGAGCGTCTTCCTCGCTCCGTCCCACTCAGGACTCTCCCGAGGCAGCGGCCGGCCGGGGCTGGCTGCCAGGTGGAAGGACAGCTTGCCTCAGCTCAAGAGGGACTGGGAGCAACTGGCTGAGCGTGACACGCAGCTGCCCTCCAGATACGATCAAAGGGTACGGATCGGCTGAAGCAGTTTACATTACGACCGTGCATCAGTGCTTGGGGGAATCACCCAAGCACCGTTTTCTAGTAAGAGCAACAGT